TATATATATATATATATATATATATATATATATATATATAAGAAATATACATATATTTTATAATTTATACATACTGTTTGACATATCTAATTATTCTATTTTAAGCATCTCTTGTGCATTTATAAAACATTCTATGTATGTATTTCTATTTTAAGCTGAAAAATATGTTATTTACGAGATTAACACTTATATATGTATATTACTTGTAAAATGGTATTATATATTCAAAGTGTTACATTAATAAAACAGCATGAAACAATTATTTATTTTATGATAAAATAAATAATTGTCTAAAATATCATGATAATACTATATCTATTATTCTCTAGAGTAATTTTCATACTTTACCAACTATAAAAAATTTCTATACCAAGTACCTTGTAACACGTTCAAATTCATTATTAAAATTACCGAAGAATTTCCAAGAAAATATTACTGTTGCTTTCTCCTATCTTTTGTTGAATGTTTTATCTTACACAACGCAGTCTACATAAATTTCTACGTAATAATTTTTTTTTTACATAAAATATTTTGAAAGATATATAACAGAGTTATCATATCAGTATTTCATATCAGTTTACCGATACTGAAAAAAAAATATAGTTGTACTCCCTATCATAAATGTAGTCAAGTCAGGCACGAATGAACCGTCGCAATGTAGCTCGTGCACTACGAGCCCAGCCTTTGTGTACAGATAAATTATTTGGCAATGTTTCGATGTTTAATGTAGGCAGAGAGTTCTGTCATGTACGCTGGTTACTGTATGCTGACCATCGGGAATCATCACTTTCGTGAGTTAAATAACGATATCCTACTTTTGCTTCTAATTCTCGTAAATCACACCATGTTTGATAATCCTTAAAAACAATATAATTTATAGTAACTTTATATTTACTTAATACTAAAAAATAGCTACGATTAAAATGCTTACTTGAAGCCATACATGTTGTAAACTCTTATCTACAGTATAACGTTTTCGTTGTTTTACTTGTAACAAATTATTGATTAAGTCAATTGCTAAAAAAAAAAACAATTTTATTAATCATTATTGTTCGATAGGCATTATTTTATTTCAATGATTTGCATACCATCAGACGAGATTTCTTGCCAAGGCATAGGTGGATACATGAAAGCAGCATTTTGAATTTGTTCATTAATATCTTCTTCTTCATTAAATGGAAACGTGCCACTTAACGATACGTAAATAATTACACCAACACTCCACATATCTAAAGAACGATTATAACCTTTGTTCCTTAAAACTTCTGGTGCTAGATATGCTGGAGTACCAACAACACTTCTTCTAAAACTTTTTTCTCCTATGATTCTTGCAAAACCAAAATCGCATAATTTTACTTGTGTAAATTCGTTATCACTGCTTAACAACACATTTTCAGGTTTTAAATCACAATGTACTATATTCTTGCTATGTAAGTGTTTCAATGCTACTAATATCTGTGTAATTAGAAATTTAGTTACTCTTTCACTAAGACGGCCACGTTCTGAACTTAATATCATTTCCAGCATATCGCCTTTTAATTTTTCCATAACTACAAATATTCGTTCAGGAGTTTCGAACATTCGTTCTAAATTAACAACTCCGCTATGAGACAGATTTTGGAGAATAGCAACCTCATTCTTAAGCTGCGCTTCTTGTTTTGTAGGAAAACGTAACTTATCAATAACTTTAATGGCGACTGCTCGTCCACTTTTACGATGAATGCCTCCATACACGGTACCAAATTGTCCAGAACCTAAAACTTCATCTGGAAAGATCTCATACAATTGAGACATATCGGTAACATTTTCTTCGGGTTCTGTAGATTCTTCTTGACCTACAATTAGAATATTTTTTATATATAAAGTCCTTTGATATTGATAATGTATCTATTAAATGAAGAAATTTTCTTGATATATAAGAAAATATAAGATATAAGATGTATAAGATATAACAAAAAGAAAAATTACATACTGACTGATACAGTTACAGGCATCAACGCTTGCCTAATACTCGTTTCCCATGACCTAGCTATATGTGCTCCAATACCACTTTCTGGTGGAGGAACTTGACTACAGTTTTCTCCATACGAAGGATCTTCTCCAACATAATAATCAATATTGGCAGTTTTTAACTCAAAACAATGCATCGTTTCTAAAATACAATTCACGTCATATCATTAATGCGTGGCGAATAAAATTTTAACAAATTATATATAATATTAATATTAAATATAAAATATAATATATATAATATTCAATACATACGTGAACGAGATGTCTCAGCAGTTTCAATAGACAATATTTCAACTAATGGAATTTCTTTGTAATATTTGGAACTATTTTCATTTTGGAATAATGTTATAGCTTTTGTATCAAGGCGCCAATAATGTTTTTTCCGCTATGAAAATTTTCAAATATTATAATTTTACTAACTTTTTCTACGTAACTTTTTACACGTAAAAATATATATTAATCATTTACCATTGGATCACGGTTTGTAAAATGTACCATCCAACCTTCTTTCAAAACTTTCGAACCACGTCGTTTTGTATGTTTAACACTTTGCACTATGCGCATCAGAGGAATATTATTGCTTGGTGTAGAACTGCATAACATAACGAAGGAATACAACATTATAAAACACAAATTTACACACATAATAAAAAATGCAATTTACCTTGACGGTCTAGATTTTTGAAATTCATCATAAATAATATCGTCATTGCATGGAACTTGGTCCTATAAAAATAATCTTATAAATAAATATTATATTTATCATTAAATATTTATCAAATAAAATTATCTACAAAATTTAAAAAAACATTTCTGTCTAATATTTTCTGTCTAATATTATGAAAGCACGTTTACAGTAAATTCATCAGATGCTTTTGTTTCATCTACTACAAAAGATGAGTGCTGAGGAGGTGAAGGAGATTCGGCATCGCTATCACCATCGCCCTCTTCATTTCTACCATCGCATTTTCCTTCTGGTTCACTGCCGACACCGCTATCAGGATATTCGTTACCTAAGTAAATATTATTTTTTAATCGAGGATATTTGTCACCTAAATAAACATTACTTTTGAAATAAATTATTTGTGAAAAAATTAAGTAACAAGATACAAGTAAAAAAAAACCTGTATTGTCACGTGGATTTTCTCCAGTACAGTCTTTAGGTATTTTTTCTATACACTTCTTGTGTGCATTATATTGACAATCTTTGCATTGTAGGCCTTGTTTAAATAACCCTCGTAATAATTTTTTACAATATCCACATACAGTTGGCCTGGTATAAGTATGTACCACAAACGTATGTGGAATTTTTATACGTGTTGCAAGTTCTCGTTCAACCCACACTGGTCGTCCTCCCAATGAAGGAGAGCGAGATTGTTTCGGTGCCATTATACTTGGTATTGTCTAAAATTATATAGTACGGCGAAAGACAATAATATATACAAAAATATATAAATTATAGATTGCGCCATACATAAAATCTTACCAAAGTACTGTTATTTTGACTTGCATTCGGTGTATTATTTGTACTATGATTATCATCACTAATGCTGGTCAAACTACTAGTAGATCCTTGACTCGGAGACCTTGGTACATTTAACATTGCAGAACTACGCCGTCTTTGACTGGCATCATGTGAGCAATTATTAGGTATTTTTATAACACATCTTTTATGATAATTCATTCCACAACCTATAAAATACATTAGTTATATTACAGTGCTCAAAATAATTAAAACAATCGTAAAAATATAATATTTACCTTCACATTTTAGACCTTGGCGAACAAGACCAAATAACATTTCTCCACAAAAATCGCAAAACGTTGGAACTTTATACGAATGAACAGTTAAAGCATGGGGACGAATGGGAACTTCTTCATTTGGCACTTGTGCTTAAAAAAAAATTAAACAATTATTTTCTCTTTTCTTAACTCCTTCATTTCTATATTTCATTTATTATAATAAAATATGTCGATTCAAAATTTACCAGTCAAAACAATTTCTACCAATGTCTCATCAACAACTTCAGTGGCGTTTGTAATAAGTTGTAAGATATTAGTGGAATTATAGTCATGCTTAAATAAAAGCAATCGTTCAAATAAATGATTTAAACCATGTTCCGGACACTTTGTATTTATAAAGTCGCAAGCAAATTCTTTAAGAGTCTTGAGAGTCAATGTACTGCTTTCAACTGTAACAGTATCACGAGTTAAACCAAACTGGAATAAAAATGTTATTTCTGGTCCCTCCATATTAATTGTTTTATCTGTAATAAAAAATAAATTAGTAAATCTTTGATATTTGAATTATACGACATCAAATGTCTATAAACCACAAACTAAAACAAGAATGTAAAGATTAATACTACTTAAAATACTAATCTTCATATACTTTTCTATGCATCTATAAACATTTGTAAATGTTTGCAGAATTTCTATTAAAAATTAAGCACATGCATAAAATTAAAAATATGCATAAATATATACTTTTTTATTTGATTTAATTAAATAATTATCGTATAACAGACAACGAATAACACACGTTGAATCAATTGATATTTAATACCATTAAATTAAATTCAACGATAATCTTGTTGCATCGTAAACGAAAATTAAACACGAATATATATTAATATATTCATAACATATTAGAAGAAAATGCAATTATCCATTATCTATACTAAGTAAAGCATGTTTCGTTTAAATAAATATTATCTTACATACACGTTTAAATTAATCAACAGAAGATTCTGTACCAAGATAGTTATCTTTTCCCCGATCAAATTAACATTGACGAAACATAATTATTATGACAACAGATCCCACGAGTGTCACTGAACAGCGTCAAGTCCATGCCTGACACACATTCGTTGATGACATTTTACAGTTATCTCCAGGTGACCGACCCACCTTTGCGTATATTTCTACTTGTTACATATCGTTACACGTCGGCTACTTACCTAAATTCCAATTAGTAGATAATCGAAAAACCTATTAAAATATCGAGAATATTGGTGAAAATTTATTAAAAACCTATGATATATCATAGAGAAATTTTAAACGAATCAATGAATCTATCGTTTTACATAGTACGTACATATTCACGCATCTATATGCGTAAAAATCTAGTGCTATATAGTTGTTACCAAAGATTATTAAGAACAGGATCAACGTTGCTATTAATCCAATCAAAAACGAAAGAAGATAACTGTTTACAGAGAAAACTGAAATAACGAATTCATAAAGAAGAAAAGAAAATTAAATATTCGATGTTTAAAAATGATATGTAATTTACTTTCGCTAATATCTTTAAATATGTAATTTCTTATATTTTTAAATAAAAAATAGCAACCATCGCAACCATCTATGTTTAAAATGGTTATGAATATACGTACATATTTGAAATTACACACCTTAGTTCTATAGTTTGAAATTTATCATCGACAAGTAATTTATATCCTATAGTTCCCGAATAATTCTTAATCTTAATTTTAAATCTTAATTATAAAAAGATAACTTATCACATTACATATATCTAATTTATAGTACTTCTTCTTCAGAATAATTTTCTCTACGCGTGTGTGTAGACACGCGCATGCGTCCAGAAATAGTAGTAGCGAAGTAGCGTGAGAGTTAGATACTGTCGCAAACGTGGAGAGGTTTTGACACGGGCGAATATACTTATGAATGTAATTTTTATTTAAGCATAATTTCAACAAAAATGACTTACAAAGTTACAGTTGATCCTAAAAATCCACCGATAGGTAAGTTTTATCGTAACACAGTTTCATTCCAAATACAGTAAATTTAACTATACGTCAAAAATAATTTAGAAAACAGATGCTAAAAGGCTTAACCATACATCGACGCTAATATTGAAATTATTTTTTCATTGATAAAACAGTACTGTTATATATATTCTTTTTTTTTTTTAATAAAATTATATTAAATTGACAACTGATGTTTTAATTTGTATAGATGCATTAATAGTAGTAGAAATAATCAATTCCCAAAATAAAGAAAAAATTGAAATAATTTGGTGCAGCGATTGGAAGTGCGATGGAAATATACAACTAACTGATAATCGGAATAAAGTATTGGGAAAAAAAAGCAACGACGTTAGTCGTTACTTTGCTAGAACTATATGTACAAATCTTTATGGTAAACATAAGTTGAATTTCTCTTACGACGTACATGCAGATTTTTCTTTATCGCTTATATTTGCTACACGATTAACACAGGTGGTGTCAATCCTTGTGAGAAGACTCAAGTTGATCATTGGTTATCATTTGCAATTGGACCTCTAGGATCTTATCCTTTGAAGGAAGATGCACTTTCTTATTTAGATAACACATTAACCACAAATACTTGGTTGGTCTCTAAAAAATTAACAATTGCTGATATCCATATATTTTGTGCTCTTGTAGATAAGAAATTTCTGACACAGTTTGAAAAAGAATTTATTAGTATAACCAGATGGTACAAACAGATGCTTTCGTTGCAAACTGTGACAGAAGTATTAAGTTCAGTTGAAAAGAATGCTATATCGTCTTCTGATAATAACGCACCATCTGAAAAAACTATGACTAAACAAACAGGACAAAGAAAACAGGAAGGTAAATTTATTAATTTGCCTGGCGCAGAAATGGGTAAAGTAAGTAATTTACATTTGAAACAATCTCTTTATGCAGAGATAATGTATATAATCTGTATAAATTTATTTATTACCAGGTCATAGTACGTTTCCCACCAGAAGCAAGCGGCTACTTACACATTGGCCATGCTAAGGCTGCCTTGTTAAATCAATATTATGCACAAAAATTTCAAGGACAGCTCATCATGAGATTCGACGATACAAACCCTGCAAAAGAAAATGTAGAATTTGAAAAAGCTATTTTAGAAGATTTAGAGTTACTGCAAATCAAGCCAGATAAATTTAGTCATTCTTCTGATTATTTTGACTTAATGTTGGAGTACTGTGCCAAATTGATAAAAGATGGCAAGGCATATATAGATGATACACCAGCTGATATAATGAAAGAACAACGTGATCAGAAATTAATGTCATCAAATAGAAATAATTGTAAGTGTAGAGTTGAAATAAAAATAGCACGATATTTTCGAAATAATTTAAACGAAGAGAAATCTGTTTAAAAAAAGTTATTTGTTCCATTAGCTATTGAAAAGAATCTTGAATTATGGAATGAGATGCAACAAGGTTCCGTTAAAGGCCAGGAATGTTGCGTCAGAGCAAAAATTGATTATCAATCGACAAACGGATGTTTACGAGATCCAACGATTTATAGGTGTAAACTACAACCGCATCCTCGTACTGGCGCAAAATACAAGTATGGATGTTAAAAATTTAAAAGAAATCACAAATATTTCATTTCTTCTATACTTGATTATATCATAATTTTTTACATAGAGTTTATCCAACGTATGATTTTGCTTGTCCTATCGTCGATGCTGTTGAAAACATTACTCATACTTTGCGTACAACAGAATATCACGACAGAGATGTTCAATTTTACTGGATAATCGATGCACTAGGATTGAGACGACCTTACATATGGGAATATTCACGTTTAAATATGACACACACAGTTTTGTCAAAAAGAAAATTAACTTGGTTTGTCGATCAAGGTTTAGTCGATGGTTGGAATGATCCACGTTTTCCAACAGTAAGGGGTATTTTGAGAAGAGGGATGACAGTCGAAGGATTAAAACAGTTTATCATTGCCCAAGGTAGTTCAAAGTCTGTCGTTTTCATGGAGTGGGATAAAATATGGGCATTTAACAAAAAAGTCATTGATCCAATCGCTACTAGGTATATATGAAACGTAACAATGAAACGTTTTTACGAAAAATATTTGCACAACTAATTTATATAATATCGATTTTTAGATATACCGCTTTAGAATCTGATAAACTTGTATCCCTACATATAAACGACGCGAAAGAGGAATGGTTGGCTGTTCAGAATCATCCGAAAAATATATCAAAAGGAACTAAACAAGTATCGGTAGGATCACAATTATACATAGAAAGAAACGATGCAAACTTGTTGATCGAAGGTCAAAATATTACCCTCATTAATTGGGGTAACGTATTAATAAAAAAAATTGAAAAAGAGAATAACGTTATCAAACAAATAACAGCACAACTAAATTTAGAAAACAAAGATTATAAAAATACATTAAAAATTACATGGTTATCGGCATCTTCTGAAAATGAAGATGACGTTAATAAAGTTAATCTAATTCCATGCTATACCGTTTACTTTAATCATATTATACGTAAACCAGTATTGGGAAAGGACGATGATTACAAAGATTTTGTTGCAAAAGAAACGAGAGTAAGTTTTTACCATTTGCGATAATCATAAATAATTTAAGAAACAGAATAAAAATATAGTAAATATTTTCAGACTGAAGTACGAATGCTCGGAGAAGTAGCATTAAAACGTGTCGAAAAAGGAGAAATAATTCAGTTACAAAGAAAAGGATTTTTTAGATGCGATGTACCTTATGCTGCTATCAGTCCATTTTCCTCTAGAGAACAGCCTTTAATATTATTTTACATTCCAGATGGCCATGCTACAGACGTAACAAGGTCTACCGAAACTACATCAAATATTAACAAATCGACACCAGTTAAAGAAATATCTCAAGAAAATGTACGTATCATTTTGTTTTTGCAATCAAAAGTTAATAATATACACGTTACATTAACATTTACGTAAATATTTTTCTTACCGTTATCGTTTCAGAAACAAATGCTAAATGCAGGTTTACTGGATCAAAAAATTAATCAGCTATTAGCTAAAATATTGTCTAAAATTATCGAACAAACAGATTATATACAATGCAAACGTACAATTGATCCAGAGATAAAAGCTTATTTGGCTTTAAAAGTTGAATATAAAAATATAACTGGTAACGAGTGGAACGGAATAAAAGGTCAAAATATAGCACAAAACATATCAATAGAATCACACGTTAATCAAAAATTATTTAACGAAATTCAAAAACAAGGAGATAAAGTAAGACATTTAAAAAGTTCAAAAGCAGAAAAAAGTATCATCGACGAAGAGGTGAAGAGACTTTTAGCTTTAAAGTCAGAGTACAAATCAGTTACCGGTCACGATTGGAAACCGTCGTCCGCTAATCCAGCAAGCACTGTACCTCCAGAAAAAATACAAAAACAAGAAGACGAAGCGAGACAATTGAAAGAAGCTAAAGCAGATAAAGATATCGACGAAGAGGCAAAGAAACATTTAGCTTTAAAGTCAGAATACGAATCAGTTACCGGTCAAGATTGGAAACCGTCGTCCGCTAATCCAGCAAGCACTGTGCTTCCAGAAAAAATACAAAAACAAGGAGACAAAGTAAGAGAATTAAAAGAAGCTAAAGCAGATAAAAGTATCATCGATCAAGAGGTAAAAATTCTACTAGATTTGAAAGATAATTACAAAACATTAACCGGTCAAGAATGGAAGCCAATAAGATCCGACGTAACGTCCAAGAAGAAGAAAAAAGAAGATACTTCTAAACAAAAGAATACATCGAACAAAGAAACAAATAAGAACGAAGGTATAAAAGATGTAGATGTCGGTAAAACGAGATTAGGATTAGAGGTAAAAAAAGAAGAAAATTTCTTCGAGTGGTATTCTCAAATCATTACCAAAAGCGGCATGATCGAATATTACGATGTATCCGGTTGTTACGTTCTTCGTCCATGGAGTTTCGCAGTTTGGAAAATAATAAAAGAATACATTGACAAAGAAATAACACAAATGGGCGTGCAAGAATGTTATTTTCCTATTTTCGTTACGCGCACAGTATTGGAGAAAGAAAAAGCGCACGTAGCAGATTTTGCTCCTGAAGTTGCGTGGGTAACGAAATGCGGAGAATCAGATTTAGCAGAACCTGTTGCTATAAGACCAACGTCAGAGACTATAATGTATCCTGCTTATGCCAAATGGTTAAAATCCGATACTGAACTTCCTTTAAAACTTAATCAATGGAATAACGTAATAGTAAGTATGTAAATTGTTAATTGTCGCGTAAAACAATTATTTTTCGAAGGCATGAAAAATAGTTGCAATTAAATATTCGTTTGCCACAGAGATGGGAATTTAAAGATCCTAAACCTTTCCTACGTACGAGAGAATTTTTATGGCAAGAAGGTCATACCGCATTTGCTACTAAAGCCGAGGCCGACGAAGAAGTTAGGACGATTTTAAATATGTACGCGAGAGTGTACGAAGATTTGTTAGCAGTACCTGTCATCAAAGGTCGTAAAACTGAAAAGGAAAAATTTGCCGGCGGTGATTACACCACCACGGTTGAAGCTTTTATTTCAACAAGCGGACGCGCTATACAAGGAGCAACGAGTCATCATCTCGGACAAAATTTCTCTAAAATGTTCAATATTCAAGTAGAGGGTGCCACAGAAGGGGATGAAAAAACATTTGTTTATCAAAATTCATGGGGCCTGACAACTCGCACAATCGGAGTTATGATAATGGTACATAACTTTGTTTCGATACGTGAAGATACTTTTCAAATAATTTCACACTTTATTTGTAGATTCACGGAGACGACAAAGGCTTGGTATTACCGCCAAATGTAGCTTGCATTCAAGCCATTATAGTGCCTTGCGGTATTACAGCGAATACAACGGCCCAACAAAGAGAATCATTATTTTCCGAATGTAACAAATTATTAGACGAATTGTCGAAAGATAAAACGCTCAGAGTTAAAGCGGATTATCGTAACAATCGTACTCCGGGTTGGAAATTTAATCATTGGGAACTGAAAGGTGTACCTGTAAGAATCGAATTAGGCCCTAAAGACTTGGAAAAGAATCAGGTCACTTTTGTACGCAGAGATAATTTTGAAAGAGTATTCACGAACAGAGCTGAAGCAGTCACTGCTTTACGCGCGTTATTAATCGACATACAAGCAAATATGCTTTCCAAGTAAGCGCTATTAAAAAATAATACCGCAGATATCATTATCATCATTATCATCAAATGTGATTTTTTTCCAACAGAGCAAGAGAAAACTTAAACGAGCATGTCAAGCGCGCAGATAGTTGGAACGAATTTCGTTTTTATCTCAATGAAAAAAACATATTATTATCGCCGTTTTGCGGAGAATCATCTTGCGAAGATAAAATTAAATGCGACAGTGCACGGTAAATATCATTAAAACTTTGTTCGTTATTGACGTTTGTTTACAAAGAAAGAATATATATATTTCTTTTTACAGAGAGGGGCTTGCAGGAGAAGAACTTGGAACATTATCAATGGGAGCAAAAACACTGTGCATACCATTCGAACAACCATTCTCGTCAGTGCCTTTCGATAAACAAACATGCATACACCCCGATTGTCAGAACAAACCCAAGTTTTATACCCTTTTCGGCCGTAGCTATTGAAATAACGCAACGTGGATGTAACGTGAGACAATTATTACAATAAAAATTTCTTTGACCAAATTTTTTACGTACAATTTTAAAATAACACTTATACGAATTGATATTTATATACCGGTATGATCAACTTTATTTTATAATTTGTACTTTACAATTATTGTAATTATAACGTTTAAAATTTATTTCCACAATCAAACTTTAAATAAAGTCATATATTCTTATTCGTGATTAAATTGTAGAGAAATACGAACAACTGTCTTTTATGCTACCTAAAACAAAATAAAATGTAGCAAAATTTAAAATTACTTCAAAAAATAGTCGAACATATTTATGTTAAAGAAACAATCAAGAACAACGAAGAAAACACTTACTATTTAAATTTTTAAAACATCTCACAAACTATAAGATATAATTACAGAAAGTATTTAAATGTTACAAGCAATACAATACGATAGAAGCTAAAATAATATCGTATATACAAAATTGAAATTTTCTTTTATCATATACGCGGTATTTTTCATCTGCGATTGAAACAAAGCGACAAATATCGTATCTTTTCAAATACGTATATTTTTGTCATTTTACAAAGCATATCAAAATAGAAGGTAGAATCGTGCAAGGATTTATCGTACACATAAAAATAAGTCGAAAAAAGGACAACGGTTAAGATGTTATTTTCAAAAAAATTTTTTTAAATTTTTCGACATACGTTGGCTAATGTCTGAAAATATAGAATGTAATGTATCTCATCAAGTTTGTACATCAATCGATCGCGTACGTTGATAATCTCTATTTCAAACTTAATACGATGTACGTCAAGTTTATAAAAATTATCAATATATACAATCGATTCAATCAACGATAAATCAAGTATTCCATAAATTTTTAACTCGATTTTCTGCAAAAAGAAACGGAACTTGAATGAAAAAATTTTTTTTCGACTTGTGTTTACCTATAAACTCATCTCCTATTTATTTAGTTAAATTACTCATTGCGATACACCTTGTACATGCAAGTACTTACACGTACGTACGTACACGTGTATTTCTTACAAAATTATTTCCGTTACTCTTAAATTTTTAAATATCACATACAAAGTTGATCAAATCAAACAAAGTAATTATATATTAATAAATATGTCGCGTACGAACGTGTCTTTAACATTTTGCAAACAAATATCTTCTCAAGCTTTAAATAAAGTGCGATTTCTCTATGTACACATCGTAACAACATATATATATCGAAAAGATCATTTTAAACATTTTTCGCGAGTACCTCTTAAATCATATTTCTAAAACTACCGGATGAAATATCAATATATCTATAATACGATATTGATATATCTCATCGCTGTATCGAATTCTTTTTCAGCGATCAAATCTTCAATATTTTTTACAGTTCCATCGTAATTTGTCAATTCTTTCGATACATATTCGGACGTAGCCGATATAAAATTTTCAAGATATTCCGATTCATCCGTGTCTGAATTATTCGTAGACGTTAATAATAAACTAAACCTTTTTTCTGTATTTCTTTTTTCTTTTTACAGCTTGAGAACAAGTCGGGATTATCATCAACGAAACTTTTTATTTTCTTCAGATCGATACTTACTTTAAAATCTTTCTCATTCCTATCTTCAGATTTGTTATTCGCATAATTTTTACGAAACAATATACGTTGTACCAATTCAATCGGATCGTGAGAATCGATTTTCAAGCTTTTCTCCACACCGTGTATCTCACAAGTATTCCGTATCACATTATCAAAGTTTACACTTTGTTCGATATTACTAATACCTTCGTCATAATTGTGATTACAACTTGCAACGGCATCGATATTGTTTTTAGCGTCACCAATTAAACCGATAGTTTTATAACTTTGTCCATCGACTATTTTAGATCTGGGATGGATTAAATTTCCATTCTCACTTTGATCATCATTCACAGAATTATTTGTATCCAACGTTGCGTTAATTAGTAAATCATCTGTTGGATTTTTATAAGGAATTGTCAATGTTGGATCTAGATTTTCTTTTATATCATCTTGATCATTTTTAGATCGTTCATTAATAAATGCGGTTGTGTTTTTGTCATTGTTATAAATATTTCCAGACACGAAGTTTGAGAAAGTATCGTTCTGCGTTTTAAAAATTTGCTCAACGGTCTTTTTTACCGGCGTATCAAACGTGGTGTTCTTCTTTCCGGTAGTTTCCATGTTAATATTTACAGAATATTTATCATATAGAATCACCTGTATAATAAAATGAATTACAATCAAATATATATTCCATGAGGTTCTTACATATTTTTAACGATATAACAAAACAGATATTCAAAATATACTTACCTGCAGATTATCTACATTACGTACATGAAACTTAAGATCACGCAAGCACATATATTCCGGTATTAATCGAGGACAATCACTGTTTATGGTTTCATTTTTGTCTCGCCAACACAGATTGTGAAATTTATTATTCGAAGTTCTATGTTTCGGAACGACCCTATAATTTACGAAACGTTATAATATTTTTTCAGCATATGAATATAGCAATATTACTTACCGTTCATTTCGTCCGTTTGGAAATACAGATACGTAAAATTTGATTTCAATAAATTGTCATAACATGGAAAGAATTTCAATAAATCGTTGTAACATGGATAATTTATAGAATGATAAAAGAAACAAAATAATTTATAATACTTACATTTCAATATCGTTCCGAGATTTCCGGTGTTCCGGCATTTGTGATTTTTTCGACTTCGAACGATCCGACTCGATAGATTTTCCAGCGCAATTAATCTTCGTTTCATTCGTGACAATGTTACTCGATTCGACAACAGAACTGGCGCTTGCATCCTCAGCACGCTGTTAATGCGTTACAAACGATACGTTATCGCGTAATGAAAAAAACGACATGGAAAATTTTATATCGACATGTATTCTTTGAAATTAATCCTTAAATTTAAATATTTTTAAACAAACAACGTCAAATATACAATTTTCTATAAATTTTTTCTTTCTATAAAAATTTCATGTATTCAACATTACTGTCGTATGTAAATACAACGTCGATGTAAAATACGTACAATGTAAAAAGTTTTATAGAAAATATTTTTTTCACTCACATTTTTTATATCGTTATTAACTCGAACATTTCTAACCGCTTTATTCGCTTCGTTTGCAATATTTATACGCGTGCCAACTTTTTCTTTATTCGTATCAGTTTTATTATTTAATATATCGTACGATGCATTTGTAGAACGTACAACATCCTCATCCGCATTAGAATTTCGATCGAATCGAACATGCGATTTTTTATTCTGCGAATGAAATTCATTTACAGAAATTCTATCGTTATGATTATTAATTTGTAAATTATTTTTATCATATCCAACATCTGCAAAGGCGTGCAAAGACACGCGTGACAACTGCTCCTTCGTTTCCTTCGTTACGTTAGCAGTTTTTCTCAATCTTTTAGTTTCATTTATGTATGAAACTACCGGGATCGACGTAGTTTCGTTATAATTTCTTTTTAACTCTGATTTTAAAACATTGCTCCGATAACATGGAGATCGTATCACTGAGTTGTTACCGGTTAATTCATGGCTGCTTCGTGACGTTTGATCGCGAATTGTTCGTTGTTCTTCTTCGATAAAAAATATATTTTTAGATTCTTTGGATGCTAACGAAACTACGTTTGTATCTTTAATTTCTGAAATAGAATCGGTATAACTGTATTTCTTTTCATCGTCCAATTGTATCGTATTGCTCGAAACGTCAGACTTTGTTTCATTCTGTAAATTAAATTTCTTCGAATTATCAGATTCAGTTACATTCAAATTACTCGCTGAAAGATTATTATTAGCAACGATTCGACTCGAATTGCTTTCTCGCAATAGCTTTTCTACCCTTGGACTAGAATTACGTACAACGCTACTTTTGTCAGGTTCGATTTTATCGCTTTCGAGCGAAGATAAATAATTTCTTTCCCTCGTATTCGTATCCTCGATAAACGTATCTCGCAATGAAATAAAATCAGCGGCCTGTAAAATATATATAAATATTTGCGTAAATTTCGTTACTCTCTAAAAGATTGTTTAATTTATATTTATTTTTAACGTTGAAATAACTTATATTTTCACTCGATTCGTGCATATAAGTTTCGATATTTGCCTCTGTGATGTAATTATCGCTGTCAATTGCAATATCGTCAACTCGTTCATCCAATTGCGATTTGGAACGTTGAATCGTAGAATTGAGATTATCTCCGTAATTATGCAACGTTGAATCTGTTACTAAACTCGATACATTCATAAAAAACATTTCTTTGCTACTCGTAGACTGCAGACCGCGCTGTTCCATGTTCAACGTGATATTCGTGTTTTCACTGGTTTTATAGCTTTTGCCGCTATCGGATAATTAATAAAATAGTTTTCATCGAAATAAATAAATCAGATATAACGTACTCGAAGATTTCTCAATATCTTTGATTTTTGTAAATACCAACTTTTGCATCTCTTCAATCGCTTTAAGTTGTCTTAATTTGAAAAATCGAGGACCAGGACGTTGCTTAATGATCGGCGTTTGCGACGTAGAGTTTATAACTGACAAACTCGATGTAAACGGTACAGGTGAATCTTTACCAACGGAAACGTCACTGTCAGAATCCTCGGAGTCGGAAATAGTTCTGGCAAAATAACAAACGTATATACGTGTAATTTTGAATTTACGTTAAATTTACGAGTAACGTATATCGATAATTTAGGAATTTGTCACAACGATCGTTTAACGTTTAAATTTAAATTCAACGCTGAAAAGAATCGATACATACCGCGATGTATTCCTTGTTCCGCTTGAACTGGCAGTTTCCTCAGATTTACCTGTACAAAGGTGGAAGATCCAAAGATAAATATTGCCTCTTTGTAAATTTCAATTAAAAAATATTTGATCTCGATTAAAAAATATTCGTTACCTAGAATAGAAATACACTCTTTACATTCCCAAACAGGATTAGGCCATTTAAGCTGTCCGCAAGCCATATGAATTCCTTGCGAACCGCAAGTTCGACAAAGAGCTAGCTTCCACTTCCTGTTAAAAATCACAATTACAATAAAAGATAAAAAGTTAACAACTTTAATCGCGTTAAATAGAATTTTTCTTTACTTACGCGTTAAAACTTGAATGTTTTCTACCTTTAGGGCACAGACATTTCGGAGCGTCACACTGATCGTGTCTATATAAAAGTTCTTGAAACGCGTTAGGCACGAGTTCCCAAGAGGCATCTCTAGAATAAAAACATCGAAGAAACGAAAAATTCTTCCAACTTGACACTTCGTTACAAAATTTCATAAATTTCATTCTCCACTTACTGACTTGGAATAAAAATACCAAATGCCAGCATCGCCTTTTGAAACGAGTTTTTATCGTTGCACAAAGGACACTTGAAAAAATATCCAGCACTCATAGCCAATTGCTGAAATAAATTTTTCAAAGACCAACATACATTTCTATATCTTTAAAAATTTTAATATCTCTCGACAAATTACCGTTCTACCTGAACACATTTTCTGTGGAACCACGCATTCTTTTTACAACACGGAGCCCACATTGTACCAACCGTGTTACAAGGATCTACCTCTTCATAACATATGCAACATACCACTTCCTTAGTTTTTGCTAATTCGGCTTTAACCTGAATATCTATTCTCTGCTTCGGTCTATGTTTTATACAATACGATCTAAAATGTATC